ACGACTTTTTTGAAATCTGCTGACTCAGAAACTATTCGTCAAAATTAAAGTTTTGTCATTTAAGACTGCAATATTTATAAATATTAAAAGTATAAATAACATAAGATTAAAAAAAAATTCGAATTGTTAAATAAAATAATCATTAATTATTAAAAACTTTATTTTGTAAAAAATTATCTTTCTATAGACGATTTTTATAAATGTGTGTAAAATGTTTTTGATTCACTTAAAAAATTTTCGTGGCTTAGTAAAATACGAAAAAAGTAAAATTAACTTTAGCAGTTCATCTGCTTTGCCGAAACTATTAGAACCATATTTTTTCAGAATGCAGCTAACCCCCCAAATTTGTGGGTAGTAATTCCGAATTTATTGCATGAAAGGCATGTTTATTTAGAGAAGGTACGTTTTTGTGTCTGATTTCGTAATTTAAAATATCATCTGGACTGATTAATTAACGTATTTTACTTTAGACCTTAAAACTGCTAACATAAAAGTCCTAGAACGCAATAATCCGATTGATCATAAGTCATTCATGGAGTTCACTTTTTTATTTTGCGTTCTGTACATTTCAAATGTTAATGTCCAGAAAGATTGGGTATGCATTGTGCTACGTAGACACAAGTGATAAATGTACAAATCAGGTACCAAAATTGGCATATTAGAGAGCTTTTGCGTTACGTTACGTTAACGGAAGCTCGTAAAACTAGTTCCAGATAGTTAAAATGAATCTTTAGAACGCTCAAGCCTGCCAGTGGGGATAGGGCGTGGTTATTCACAGGGTTGGGGTTTTAGACGTCCTAAACTGGTTTTGGACAGGACACGTGGGTTTTACTGTCTTAAACTGGGTAAAACTGTCCTAAACTGGGTAAAACTGTCTTAAAGTGTCCAAAAACTTTAACTTTGGTAAAAGGTATTGAAGAGTCAAACAATATTAATAAAACATAATACTTCTAAAAACAAATATTCTCTAGTATATTTAATTATCAATATGTTATTAGTTCTTGTCATTATCAATATGTTATTAGTATTTAATTATCAATATGTTATTAGACAATATCTAATAATTCAGACAAAATTGTGACATAATTTGAGTAAAAGGGTTTTGGACAGGACGGTTTAAACCGTGGATTAATCCATTCTGTCCTAACCCTTGCCAACCCTGGTTATTCATAATATGATTCGAAACATTTTGTAAAAAGTGGAATGGCAACAACTAAGTGAGCGGGTAGAAAACAACTGTTGGGTGGTCAGTTACAGGATGAGTATCTTAACTTATGATTGCAACGTTTACCATCACAGATTTATCTATTTCGTCCGAAAAATTAAATAATTTGGCTGAGATCCCTAACAAAGTCGCGGATGTTGAGAAATCTCGTTACTTTATTGATTCCGGTGTAACATTAGTATTATTCCTAAACCAAATATTCTCACTAAGCCCATCAAACTTGAACTTTTCGCCTCTAATGATTCAAAGATAAAAACCTATGGGCAAAAACTTCTTGATGTAAATTTAAGACTATCTTTCCTATGGAATTTTGTCACCCCAGACGTAAGCGCCGCAATCATTGGTTTTTGATTTTCTCAATCATTTCGGATTAATCACCGATATTAAAAATAAACGTCTTATAGATCCCGATGCAAAATTGTCAACAAAAGGTGAAAGTTTTGCAAAACAAGATTTACAAATTAAAACTTAGTCCGATACCCTGATTTCAGAAAATATATTTTAAGTGAATTTCCTGATATAACGAGATTTAAGACGTGATCTTCGGGCATTCAGTTAAAAAATAAAGCACAATACAATTCATCATATTCAAACTACTGGTCATCCAGTACATGCTCGCCGCCATAACTTAAATCAAGAGCAGGAAACGGCTGCCAAAGAAAAATTCCAAAACATTCTTGATCAGGGCATTATTGTGCCTTTCAAATCAAATTTGAGTTCTCGTCGCACTCTGACAAAAAAGACACGAATCCTTGACGTCAAAAGGGTGATTATCACGTTCTTAATAAGCAAGCAAACCCCGACCGTTATTCCATTCCGCATATAACAAGTTTTATACAAGTCAAGACCATTTTTACAAAACTTCATATCCAAAGATCCTATCATCACAATCCCATTCACCCGGAAAACATAAACCGACAATAATTAAAAATTTCGGATTGTACGAATTTGTTTTTGTGCCTCTCGGCTTATGTAATGCTGCTCAAACTTGGATGTGTTTTATGCATGTTTGTATAAAACATGATATGTTTTATACAAACTTGGATGTGTTTTATACATTTATACATGTGTTTTATACATGAATAACAACACACGCTTATGGTATCGCTTTCATATTCTTTTAATTATTTGTGTATTATTCTTAAATAAATATGTTATATAGAGTTATTAATAACTATGCTATAACCACAAGGGTATAACACTGACGGTTTTGAATTCCATCATAACTCTAGACTTATCTTGGCGATGTCCTTCTCTAACTTGTGCTCTCTGTTGTTTAAATTGAAGGTCATGGTAGCCCAGTAGTTCGATAATCTGACTCGGATCCGGAGGAACCGGTGGTTCGATTCTCGACTCCGTTGAGACCCAACGAGTACACGTGATATGCGTGCTCTCAAAATCTGCGGAATCGACAGTCCTGTGTTTTGTTGCTGAGCAGTACAATAGGTATAAGTAGCTGGAGAAAATGTCCTTCACCTTCAAACCAATGTCTAAATTGAGTAATCGGCCTCACAAAATTGTGATGCCATGTCTTCGGATCATCCTCAGGGATATTTTCCAGACAGTCTCTAATAGCCCATTGTGCAGCTCTAGTGCGACGTATTTTAGAGTACCTACCTGTTAAACATGACAATGAATTACATACGTTACTTTGTAAATGGCACACAAACCTGCATATGTATAACAATAAATATATCAATGTCAATAAACGGATCAATATTGCCTAGTTATGTAGCTCAAATATCAACGTTATCAGACGAGAAATAAATAAATAGAGATGCTAAAGTGATTTTCTCTTCCCGTTTTCAGGATGGGATTCACTATTCTTTATTGGAGATTTCCTACTGAGCTATTTCATTTGGTTATCTGATCAATTAATACATGTAGCTTTCGCTGTTGTTGTTAATTTACGTCGAAGTAGAGCTGCACAATGGGCTATTGGCGACGGTCTGGGAAACATCCCGGAGGATGATCCGAAGACATGCCATCACAATTTTGATCCTCTGCGGAGGGGATGCGGGCTCTCGTGCATCTGTAGCTACTTATGACATTATCTTAAAATGTTTACTTTGTAAACCCCCAAAATCAACCTTTCGATCACGACTTCACCTTGTTGGATTTTTCTTTACCTTGGTTAATGGCAAACTCTTCTTTTTTGACATTCTAAGTTAATAACCAAGCATTTTTTCCCTACTATATAAGCTATAAGCGCATTTATGACGCAAAAAGCTCTTAAATGGATCGTGTATCGTTTATTCACGAGGGGGCCTCCCTGACCGAGCGGTATCACCGGCCAAACGCTGTGCAAAGCGTGGAGGTAGCAGGTTCGATTCCCGTCGTAACCCTGGATGTATTCTTTGTGATGTCCTTCTCTGAATTATTCCATCTGTCCTACTTGACAGAGGCTTATAAGCCTAAGTTGAGCACACAAGCCTGCAAATGTATGTACAATAAAGTAATTCGTCACGAGAATAAATTGAAATAAGTAGTGCGATTATTGATTAATGCGCTCCTTAAAACCGGAGTTCTATCCATGAAACACAAATAATAACCTTTTACGAACGAGAGAGAGTTTAAACTGCTGGTGCACACATTGAATTTATTTTTCGAAAAAAATTTTCTTAAGGAATTTTGTTTTCGCGTTGACTTGAGTAATGTTTCATTTTTAGCATGTCTTTGTTTGTTCCGCGAAATCTAACGTTCGAGCCACTAAAGATCTTCGCAATGTACGCTTCTGAAATTTCGTTCTCCCTTGTATATTTATTTAGCTGAGGTAAGTTTACGGTATTGAACTGATAAGAATAAGAAAAAGATCTTCTCATATTTAGATCAAAATTAAAGTGTAAGCATTTGTGTTTATCAAATTCGTTTTTAACATTGACTTTACTTGAAATATAAATATGGTTTTCCAATTTAGTGTTGAAATTAGTTTTCGAAAATATTTCTTTAATGTAGCATTATAATGGTTAAAAATTTATTTGCATTCGCATTTACACATATGTATGTAATAACTATCAATTGAAACTTCGAGAATCAACATTGTATTATATGGCTAGGCTAACAATCATCTATCAAAAGTAAGATCAGGAGAAATTGTAGTTTACATATCTTATATACTAGTGAGTGGGAATTGAGTAATTGTAGTGGTTTTTCATGCTACAGTATTTCAAAATATTTGATGCTTATTTTTTTCTACATTCCAATAGAACCAATAAGGATTTTTATGACAGTTTAAATAAGCCAAGCCCGTCAAGTATAAATTGTCTTAAGTGTATAATTCTATATACAAAGTCATGTAGAACTTAAACTAATTAATTAATCGAAATTATCAGGTACTCAAAGCAAAAATGTATCACGATTACAATAAAATACAAAGCAAAGTTAAGTAAAAGACGTAAAAGATAAAGAGTTCTATTTCAACAAATTTGATGTGTGATTCAGCTCTCTATTTAATTAACATCACGTAAATTACCATCTAACTTATGTGGAGAAACTTAACTTTTACAGGCCATTTTGTTTATAGACGATCAGCGTGCGCTGACGTCATAGGTTATGTGTGGGCATCCGTGATCTTCTTGAAGTGCGGGTATGCAATTCTGTTATTTTTTTCAAATATTTAAAAGACAACACAAAATTGTCTAACTTATAGGTTTAATCAAAAACTGAATTTTTAGAATGTTCTTTAATAATCAGTTACTTGATAAAGTATTTTTCTATTCAGTATGTCTTGTGAGCCCAAGGATTAAGCTTAGAAGGCACGTAATGACTACTGCATCTATTTAGTATTTGAACCATGTGTTTGTTCTGTTTACTGTTACGTAATGGGATACCTGTAAATGACGTTATGTGGGTATCTCAATCCTGATTGGTTGTTGAAACGTGGCATTTAAATTAGCGCCTATTCTTTCCTTTCTATTTCGAAGAAGCCAAGCCGTTCAAGTATCAATTTTATTAAGTGAGACATTCTATGTTCTTTCGCAAATACTTCAATTCTTTCACTATATATTTTTTACTTAGCACAAAGATAGACTCGAAGTTATGTAGAACATAAACTATGCATCGAAGTTGCCAGGTACAAAAAACAAAATTTTATAACTGTTACAATAAAATATACAAGCAAATAAATCTAAGTTAAGTAAAATGCATAGACTAGAAACAATTATTTTTTAGCAATTTCGATGTGTGACAAGGAGCTGTATTTAATTAACTTCAAGTTAATTAACATTCTAACCTATGGGGAGAAACTTAGTTAAACTTTAACACGTCATTTAGCCTATAAACGATCAGCTGGCGCTGACGATTTAGATGACATTGTGGGTATCTGTGATCTTCTAGAAGTGCATTAATCTAATTAGCGAATTTCTAGAAAACTAAACAATTTAAAATCAATGGTCAATAGAAGTTGAAAAACTAAATTGTGTATTAAGAAGCAAAAATAATGGGAAAAAAATTCTTTTTTCGTGGTTAGTTTTACGGTCAATAGAAGTTGAAAAACTAAATTGCGTACTAAAAAGCAAGAATAATGGGGGGAAAATTTCCTTTTTCGTGATTTAATTTTTAACATCTTGATTTGGCTTCGACTAATAGCATCATTTTCGGAGATTTCATTAGAATGTGCTTGTTTTGCTAAACATAATAGAATTAAATACCTGGAAATTAAAAAATTAAATTCCTTTTAGCTTCAGTAGTTACTCCAATAAGTGCTTTTCAGCTTTGTGCATCATATAGCAAAGCTAATATTATTGATTATCTATTTTTACTATACTAAACTGCAATGTTTCTTGACAATGGAGAAATATGCTGAGGGCAAACGAAGAAAATAGTTCCCGGCGCGATGTCTGTATTTCGAGGTAAATTATGCATTTCACAATAGAAATATGATAAGTTATCTTAACCCACACATATATAGCGTTAATTTGCTATAATTTTCTTAAAATTTTATATATTTTCAAATTTATGAGCGGCGCATCGCGGAATGGTATCTTTATTTAGTTATATTTCTTCTATATAACGACTGAACTTATTTCTCCTTCTTCCTCCGCCAGCCGTGACGTCATTGTCAAGAAACTTTGCATTCTAGTATAGTTGGATACCAGTTATTCACAGGGAATAAAAATAGTAAATAATCAATTGCCAATGACGTAACAAACAAAATACCACTATTGCCAAAGCTAAAATAATTCCATATTATATTTATTTCTAGCTGAATACTCGTTTCTCGTAAGGAGTGAAAAAAAATCACTGCATCAAAATCATACCCAAAACTGAAAGACAAATACTGAAACAATTAGTAAAGCTAAAGGTATCTTTTTATCTATTATCTTTTTATCTAATTTAAGTATCTTTTGTATTTATTATGCGTTGGCCTTCCCTGTAACTTTGCGTTATTAGATTCAGCAAAACACATTTTAAGTATTTCATCCCATAAAAATAAAGATCCTCTTTATTCAAATCTGGGGCAATGTTGTGGCTCGAGGTCAACTCGTGACGTTTTAAATTTACCACATTCAAGAAATTATCTGCAATGATAGCTTCAGGAGATCTTAATAAAATTTTTTCCACAGTATCTGTAATAAAAATGCACAGCATTGGTGCAGTTTTAATTGACACCAAATTTATTTTTAAAATACTTTGTACCTATATAAATATATTTAGTGCCGATTAAAAATACATCCATTACAATAACACCGGTAGGTCATTGTTACGAAAAATAATCATCTTTGGCGTCAAAAACACCTTGGAAATTTTTTTACGTTTCTGTTTTTCATTTGATTCTCCGGGATTTAAGCTTTAAGGAGTAGAAAAAAACTCCAGTACTATAAGTCACACTAAATGCCTATACTCGCGAATTTTGCATCTGTTAAAACAGTAACTATTAACAATACTAGTAAAACAAATGAGCAAAATTATCAATGATGTCAATATGTTCATATAGTGTCATCAGAGATTTTCTACAAATCTTAGAAGAGTTTCATCTCCATTAACTCGGGTCTTTAGAATATAATTTATTAATTTTTTTATTTCAATTAACTATTTAGTTTAGTTTTAGTTTTAAAAGCGCAACCAGAAACTAACTAAACAAATTTCTGAACTATTAATTCGTTGACATAGCTCTACCATACTTTCCGCGTTGATCCATTAGATTAAATGACATAACGAATAAAAAGAATTAAATATTGAAAACCGTGCAATAAACTATTTTTGGGGAAAATCTTGCTGAGATCTTTCGAGCATCTTATGTTTTAAACAGTTGATAAAACTTGTGAAGTTTAATTTATTGATGTGTCTAATGCTAAACTCATTTGAGAAATTCATTTTTCAAACATTCCTCTTAAACAAACTAACTGAATTTTTAGCATGAGGGGTTTACGATGTTCAATTTTACCTGTTCAATTTTTAGAATCTTAGTATAAACTATTCTGGAGTTTTAAGAGGTAAACTCAAACTTTACTTATTCAACTTTTCTTCGGCGTTTACTAACTAACTAGGAGGCTCCGCCCCCTGCTCGCTCACGCTCGCCAACCCCCGAGAATTGCTACGCAATCCTATGTGGTTCACGCCGTGAACCATGACTCGCTGCGCTCGCTCGCCAATGAACACAATGTTCTAGCACAAAGACATAAGATATTATCATCAAAGACATAGTATTTTATCATCAAAGACATAGTATTTTATCATCAAAGACATAGTATTGCACTTATGTAGAAGAATTCTACCAATGTTCTTATTGGCTTTTAAAAAAAGTATATTAGATATTTAGATTGTACATGGTGAAAAAATCAAAACATTAGCTAAATAAGAAACATATTAGCAAAATAAATTATCAAATATTGCTTCACTAATATTCTGCATTTTAAAGCGTGAAAATTCAATGCATAAACAAACGCGAAATATAAAAAAATTCAATGCATTCAATACAGCACTTAAACGTCTTTTAGACGTTTAGGTAGCTCCCAGTAGAAAAATATCAATTCAACAGCGGCCTTTTAAAGCATTCTCACTTCAATTAATTAATTAATTCCTAATTGAGTTTAAATTAAATATTGTCATGTTTTTGCATGAATCTGAATTGAGCAACCTGATAATGCTCACTCTGGTTATTGTTATCTGGTTGCTCACTACGTGCTCTTGCGTGCCGAATCCAATCAATTAAAAATGAAAACTGTTGCCAGCGCGAGAAAAGAAATATCATCGGTTTTATTGATACATACATACGTACGTATGAGCGTTTTATATAATATAGATAGATTTTGTCTGTCCTTCAGTTGAAACGCTGTCTTGAATCTCCAAAACAATTTGAGCCTAAGACCAGAAATTTGGAAATCGATCACAAAGAGCAATATTGGTCCTCGATCCTATAACTCGTTTAACAATTTCAGTCAGTAGGTTCATAAAAAATGTTTGAAAAGTGGATTCTTAGTGCTGGTTTTGCATTAGCCATTGTTATAAATTAAACTATATACAATGCTTTATTGAATCCCAAGAAATTGAAGCGGTTGTACCATACTTGATAAAAAAAAAAAAAAACTTCATTCGCTTCAAAAATATACGAAGTGAAAAGAACAGTTGACAAGTTTTAAGCACTCAAAAATAGACACCAATTATCAAGATTTGTCAGACGTGAATAAGAAAAAAAAAATTTATTTTTGAAATCACCTTTGTTCCTGCCCATTCACTTCTGATAAGTCTTGATAATGGGCGCCAATTTTTGAACGCTTGAAACTTCTCTACTGTTATTTTCATTTCGTATAATTTTGAAGCAAATGAAGTTTTTTAATTAGGTATAGACAGTACTGTTTATGAGTTTATTGCACTTTCTTTAGTTTTTAAATATTTTTTTTAAAACCCCATGATTAACGTAGATAGCCTAGCTACTTCATTGAATTAGTATCCCTAAAAATGTCTGCGGACACATTTTTTATTCATAGTTCTAACTTTCGAACATTTTTTGTATAAAATTAAAAAACGGTAGTTCACCGCATACTGCAAAAGAAATACAATCCAGCTTCAATTTTTGTAGTTTAAGAAGCATACTTTATCACAAATATGGAATTTTTGCTGTTACACATCTGCTGTTGTAATTTAATGATAATTAAGAAATATTCCGCTGGTGGCGCTGATGAATGTTGCGCGGGACCAGAGACCCATGAACTCTTGTTGTTACATCTTCTACCCTTTTCTTTGTGTTTCGTGCCGTCTATGTTATTAATAAAAATATATTTCAAAAGAACCTGCTCAAGGTAAGTGAAATTATTTCACACTTAAATTTAGTTCATTATAGAAATGACATTGGTTAAGCAATATTTAACATCTGCCAACTTGTAATCTTCCCGAAAATGATTTTTCCAAAATATAAGATTACATTTGAATTACAATTGTGGGCAGAAATGTTTTGTTCATTTTACCCAAAACTAAATACACCATCGTTGGATTACCATTTCTTTCATAAATATGTTTAATTTATTCATAAACGTATTGCTTACACAAATAATTTTAAATTTAAATCATTAATTAAAAACATGCAATCAGATAAATTTTGCTACGACTTTAAATAAAATATCAAGAAAACTTCTTAAAAGTTGGCAGCTTTATGATAACCGGAAAACTATAAAAAAGCGAGTGCTCAGTAATCTTTGTGTCACTAAGTGTACAGTGCACAAAATAAAAAAGATGTGACAATGAATAACTTTCGTTCTAATGATTGGATTTTTGCGTACTAAGTGTCAATCATAATGGTTTCTGGGGTAACAACATAGATGCTAATTAATTAGTGATAGCTGTTAAATAAGTTGTGAGATAACACAAAATGCACGTTCTCTGAATAAACATTTTTTTTTGTTGACGTGTTTAGGATTTTTGACTCTCTAACTTGAGGGTAGCCACAAACTGGAAATTTTAGTTGTAATGACAACAATTTTAAAAAAATAATTACATGAAGCGATTAATGCCTAAACTTGATAAACTTAAAGGAACTTGGCTTAAGACAAGCCTAGCGTAATTTTCATTCTCATGACTTTTCGTTATTTTGATTCGATATAATTTTCTTATTTTAATTATTGAATTTGATGCTTCTTTTTAAGTAGTCTGCTAATTTATATACAGTTTAGTAAAAAGATTTCAATAAAATATCATATTTAACCAGGTACCAACTTCCTACGATTTTTTTAAAAAAAATATATAAATTATTTGTCATATTTAAGTTTTAACGTAATAATAATAGTTGTCCTAACTTCCTAATTTTAAAATTATATTTTATATTTCCTCACAAAACTATTCAGTGATTTTCTTATATTTTTCTTTCTTTTTTAGAGCTACTGTGTAGATTTTTTTTCTCCAAAACTGTGATAATCTACTTTTTTTAATGTATTAAATAATTGGTGAGTTTTTTTAAGTCTCAGAGCTATTGTCAATTAGTTGCACAGAATCTAAGAACATTTTTTTAATTAAAATTACTGGGTGGAGAGCGTCTGACAGATAGTATCAAATAAGTGCTCCCTCTTCTCTAAGAATGAACAAACAAATTATTTATTAATAATTTCTATTATTTCTGCTTCTATTAATTATTTATGTTTCTTATTAGTTTGATTTATGAAAAGTAAATACATATTAGAGCAACTCAAAATGAGAATGAGCAAATTCGAATTGCAATTTTGTTTTGACGTTTAAAACTATGTGTTACATCATTAACTTTAAGAAAGCTGCTCTTTAAAGAAAAAAAAATATTAAAAAATTATTTTTTAACTTTAGCACAATGCGAAAGATATTATTAAATAATAATTTGTTATGTGTAATATGCCCTATTTTGTTAAAGAGCTAAGAAATTGAAATTCGTAAAAAGTTTCCAAAGTCCTAATATTTTTCAGAATCATTATCTGATTTGAAATATGTATATTAAATACTCAATTTTGGACCTATTTTGATAAGAAAAAAACGCAGTGAGAGTTTTAACATTTTACAGGAACTATGAATAAAATTTTTTTTCCTGTATTTCGTAATAAAAGGATAAGAATGATATTGATCCAAGGATCCTTCTCAATAGTTTCGTTATTTCAAGAATTGAAATCTATTTAAACTATTATATATTTGAACTGTACATATTATTGCATGAAAATAAACGAGAATCAATTTAACTATTTAAGCTTATTCTATTAATTTGTTGATAGATTCTATTAATATGTTCAAGGAGAAGGATATGCGTTGGTGACCTCGTTTACTTATTATACTATAAAAATCATTATGTCAAAAATCATTATAAAAATCATAAAAATCATATACTATATTAAATCATATAGCTTGAATTACTTAGTTCAGGTAAATTATTTAATAATTTTAAGGAAATAAGGATGTAAAAACAAACTCTGTTGAAGCACGCCTAAAGTGTACCTTTAAATAAATCTAGAATAAACTATGGAATCAATAGCTAAAAAATTCATTTTCAATTTCGAGCAGAATGGAAATGGTAACTATTTAACTTAGATTTCTGGTGATAGGGGAAATTTCGTGACACACTCTACTTTTGAAATTTCAATTGTAAGTGGAATTTTTTTCACGTTTTTAAAGTGTTTTTAAGACTAGAACTAAAACTTGCATTGCATTGATTTTTTTTTTTGAAAGTCGTGACTAATTATTATTTTTTTACTCTAAGAGCCTGTGCCATTATCTTACGTAAAACTTATTTTAATATCGCGTGAAGTAATTTAATATAATGTAATGAATAATCTCAAGAAGCTGGAAGAAAAAGATAAAAACTTTATTGATTTTAAAAAACGATGACACTAAAAGCAGCTTTGTTTTTGAGAATCCAGAAATTAACGTCCCAATTCCTTCAGGCCTGGCGATTTTTGAGAATAGACTCTCATTTTTGAGCGCTTGAAACATAGACTTTTATTTCCATCTTCGTTTTTTTAAAGCCAGTAAAGTTTTCATCTTCAATTAAACTGTTTTACATTTGGATGATAATTATTATTTTTATAAGAATTTTATGTTCATGTTATGCTTTATCTTTAAAATAACAATTTCGAAATCAAATATTTACATTAATGAAGTGGGAAATTTTATCTTTTAAGTTTCGTTACCACCACTCCAGTATCTTAGACTTTATAAACTTTGTTTTAGAGAAGAGTATCGTATCAGAATACATATAGTAATGGTGAGAATCATAAAATAAGATTGTGAATTAAGGAGAGAAAAAAAAAACAAGGAAATCATAATAGTGATCGTAATTAAGGAACAGGTTGAGCGATAATTTATGATGAATTTGCGAAAATAGGTTTAGCAATGTAATGTATAGCATGTTATTTGTAAATCCTCTTTATCCAAAGAAAGCCATGTAACCTAAATATTTGGACGCATGAAGCGATTTTCTTTAAAGAATGAATCGTACCATATACAGCATTATTATACTAATCCTACAATATGCAGCATGTTATTCTTAAACGCAATATCTTTCAATATTTATAAAATGCCACTTAACATTCATAAACTTCTTCAGTTATAAAAAAAAAAAAAGAATTATTATAAACTACAATAAAACCTTGTCATTATGCATTAGATTTACCAAGTCCTCTACTTTTTTTCCAGCACTTTTTTTTCCTTTCAATTTTCCTGTGTGCCTGAAACACTCGATAAAATTTCTAATAATGATTATCTCAAAAATTTTGTATGCAATTATGATAAGTTTGGTAAATTTGATTCTAGTATAAAAAATCATCGTATATGAAGTAGAATGAAAGTAAAAGTACAAATAATGTCCGCAAATTCATAAGGAATAAAAAAAATATGAAATTTGTATAGTTCAAAAAACATTTGATAAAGTAAAATGCTTAAAATTTTAAAACGGAAAAAATTGAGAAAGAATTTTTTCATGTTAATAATGTATTTCAAATAACCAACATTTCTACATAGACCCCCGCTAATTCTCCTAAAATCTTCCATTACATAAATCAGAAATTTTTGAATTTTTTTCCTGAATAATACATTTTCACTCTTGAATTGTCAGTCATGGTGACTCTTTGAACAAACAGTCGAACCAGTGATCTGAAAGCTTTTACCCAGGTTTTGACTGCATGCTTGAACATCATTAACGATGACTCTAGAGTTTTCTTTAAAATTCACCCTGCTTTAATGCTGCTGTTTTATGCTAATGCTTTTGAGTTTTAGTTTTCACAACAAGATGGCTGTAGCTTCATTCTTCTCAAACCACGAAAACACCCGTTTCAGTGCTGTAGTCTCTATGGATCAAAATTTTTCACGAAAGGATTTAAAATTGAGTAAATAATTAAAAATCAGATTCTCGGTGCATCGTAAACTACATATGATGACCTTTAAGTAAATATTGATTAAAACTTGTCTTCAACTAACTTAACTAACTTGTCTTAACTAATTTTTAAACTGTCTTTATAGCTTTACAAAATCATACTTGCATCTCTATGGAAGAGAGTTATTCTCATTTACATTAGATACACAATCGCAATTTCCAGGATTTGGATAAATATGCTTATATGCTTCCAAAATAAAGCTGAGTCAGTCCAATCGTCCTTGATAGATGGAAATCGAAAATATGCGGCTTTCTTTAATCTTTCTTGACTTATAAAATTAAGTAGATTTCAGATACCTCCATGATTTTAGGATCTTGAATCTATGATCTAAATCCGCAGAAAAACAGTATCTTAATTTACAGAGAGTACGATTTTAGGTCTGATTTTGGATCTTAAAATATCATCTATTCAGCTTAATTACCATATTTTTGTGTGACGCTTAAACCATTAGAATAGCATTGTGAAAATTTGACAACAAAAGGAAAGGTTTCCAGTGTGCTCAGTTTTATTTGTTTATTTTCTTTTGAGTTTTATGCATACTGTTAAATAAGAACTAAACACATTTCAATATACTGCAGTGATACTCTTTTTAAAGAAGGTAAAAAATGTTTCTTTACTAATAGTTTTCCTTTTTTTTTACAGAAAATAAAAATTTGTTGGAAAAATATTTCTTGAAAATATGACCCGCATAATTACTAACTTAAAAAGGAGTATACCGAATAGGAAAAAAATGGCGCATTTCCATTAGTGTTGGCTCTGATTTTAGATATGATTACAATTTAAATCAAATTTGCATTTTACTGAAAGGAAAGGTTTCCAATGTGCTCTGTTTCATTTGTTTACTTTTTTTTAGTTTTATGCATACTGTTAAATAAGAACTAAACACATTTCGATATACTACAGTCATACTCTTTTTAAAGATGATAAAAAAATTTCCTTTACTAATAGTTTTTTCTTTTTTTTTTCAGAAACAGAAAATTTGTTAAAAAATATTTCTTGAAAATATAACCCATGGCTTAATCACACCAACTTAAAAAGGAATATACCGAATAGAAAAAAAATGGCGCATTTCCATTAGTGATGGTTCTGTTTTTAGATATGTTGACAATTGAAATCAAATTTGCATACTATTACCGAATAATTTGCACAATATAACGAGTGAAAATTTTACCGACTTTTCTTTCAAAATGGAAAACAAACGTAAGTTCTGTGATGTTGTCATACAAGAAGCAATGTTTATCATTAAACACGGTACGCTTGATGAGTTTGAACGCCTGTTAGAAGAAGGCCTTGATACTAATGCAATCATAGTCGAAAATCGTTGCAGCAAGATGATACACATAGCATCTTATTTTGGCCGATGTGATATAATTGAATTGCTTATAACAAAAGGAGTTTGCGTTAGTGAAACTGATAAACAGGGGCGCAAACCCTTACACTACGCAGCAGAAAAAGGGCATTTAGAAATTGTAAAGATTTTAATCAGAAATGGGGCAAATGCGAGTGCTGGAGGAAATGGTATAGGATCGAAATACTGCCATTTTGCATTCAGATGTGGTCGCAGGAACATTCTAGAATTTTTTTTCAGTGAAGGTGGTGATGCGAATGAAACTGATGAAATTGGTTGGACATTGTTGCACTATGCAGCTGTGAACAATGATGTGGATATTGTGGAATATCTAGTTGATAATGGTGCTAATATCCATGCAGAGCAATTTGGTACAGGTACGAAACCTATGCATATTGCATCAGAATATGGTTGTGAAAAAGTTGTAGATTATTTTTTACTTAAAGGAGCAGGTGTTGACACAACTAATAAATTCTGTAACACCTCATTACATTTAGCTGCATCTGAGGGAAAGCTTGAAACAGTTGAGGTGCTTTTGAAACATAAAGCCAACATTCATGCTGCTGATGAAGATGGTAATCAAGCAATTCATCTTTCTTCAAAATATGGACACAGAGATGTACTAAATTTCCTTCTTCATAGTGGTTCCAATGTTCAAGCTGTCGGGGAAAATTTCTGTACGCCTCTACATTTTGCAGCATTAAACGGGCATCTGAATTTAATTCACGATCTTATTGAAAATGGAGCTAATATAAATGCCAAAAACAAATATGGTGAGTCTTCGTTACATTTAGCAGTCAAATCGGGCAATGTTAATGCTGTAGAATATTTCCTCACCCTTGGATTAAAAATAAATGCCCGAGATGATGATTATGGCTGGACTCCATTGCATTATGCTTCGCGATGCGGCCATATAGGAGTTATTGAACTGTTAATTAATAATGGTGCTGACGTCAACGGCAGAAGTAATGGTGGCGAAAAGCCTATTCATGTGGCGGCTAACAATGGGCATACGCAAACAGTTGAGTTTTATATCAATAAAGGATGTGATGTTAATGAATTAAATACGAAATACCATTGGACGTGCTTACACTATGCTTCTCGAGAAGGTTTTCTTGAAATGGTTCAGTATCTTTTTGATAAACATGCTGATATTCACGTTGAATGCAGTGATTATGGAAAAGCTATTCATATCGCTGCTATAATAGGACAAACTGAAATAATAGAATTTTTTATTTCTATTGGAATGAGCATTGAGGAGCCCAGCAGTAAAAAATGGACACCGCTTCATTGGGCTTCAAAAGGGGGTAAATTAGAAACGATTGAATATTTAGTTCAAAATAAGGTAAATATATTCGCAAAGACTTATGAAAATTATAGCGTGTTGCATCTGGCTGCGAAACATGGACACAAAAATGTAATAGAGTATTTCTTGAATTTAGGGCTTGATTTTAACGA